AGCTTGTTATATATATATTCTCATAATTTATCATCACATAGCTTCCATAACATTTTCCTACAGCTTCATAAATCTTTACCATATAACTCATATATTATATGTTCATTTAAGCCCATAATTGTTCCCTATATAGCTTATCTTACATGTTCGTATAATCACTTCTGTCAATGTTTCCTAATTTATACATTATTCTTATATTGTCCTATAGTCAATACTATTTAGCTTATCTCACTTTTCATTTAATCTCGTAAGTTGATTATACCAATTCCTATATATTTAACTTAAGTAATTTATATCTTATTATAATATCTTCATTTAAACTCCACTTGTTCATAAACACATATATCACATTAATTATATATTATTTCCATATATTCACTTATATTGGGTTCACGTATCTTATATCACATATTCCTGTAATCACTTTTGTCAATACCACATAGCTTGTCTTATACTTTCATATATTCATGTATTTCAGTATCACTTATCGCATATACATGTAATCATGTTGATCATGTCACCTATAATAACATATGGCACATATATCCATTTTCATGTACTCATGCACACATAAGAATCACATAAATCACAAATCAATTAATATTTCAGGAGTCTCTTATTACCATAGTAACTCCGTCATTGGCTCATCGCAAACCAATGTTTATTCGATAACATAAGTATAAGTTAAATTGCACTCACCTTAACCTTGCTTTATGTGATTCGATCCTAATTCTTCGATTGTTCCGGAATAGGGTTACATTCACTATCTACATAATTATACATTTATACATATCAGAAATCCAATTGTATACTCTAATATTTCAACTCTTAAACTAAAGGAAAACCAATTTCATTTCTTGTTTAAAGTAGATATCGGTACCCTCTATAGGGTATCAGTACACCCCTAACTGAGGTATTGATACCCTGTCTAGGGTATAGATACCATAATGACATTCTGAATTTTTTCATCTTCAGGGGGGTATCGATACCCCCTATAGGGTATCGATACCCCCTATAGGGTATCGATACCCTACTGATATTCTGTAATTTTTCATTAAAAATGGGGTATCGATACACCTTCATAGGGTACCGATACCCTCTGCCCATAAAATACATTTTGAGCACGAAAATCACCTCATTTATGCTCAAACACTTCCTATTTAATCCCATTACATATACTTAACTCATCTACTCATACTTGAACTCATTAATACTCATTCAATACATCTTTAACTTAAAAATCCACTTTTCTACCTAGAATCCAAGAATCATGCCCAATTTTCAACATGTTCTAAATTTAATTCTAACACTTCATACTCCTTAATTAGGTTGATGACAAGTCAAATTTAGCTTCATATTCAACTTATCAACTCTTTTCCATAAATTTATATAAAAAACCATTTCCTTTAATCTCTCATATACCTTTCATCTTATTGTTTCAGAACAAATTAAGCTTTCCTTAAGCTTAATTATCATCTAATGATCAAAACCCAACTTAAATTTCAGATAATAATCAACTATTAATAAATCTTACCTTTGCAAGTTGGAGTCCACGGCTGGGAGAAGGAAGAAGAAAACTCTGGAGAAATCTCTCCTTTCCCCACGTGGTTTCCTTGTCTTATAAGAGGGAATAATATATTTCATGTTAAATGACCATTTTGCCCTTTGATTCATTTAATAATTACTAAAACCTTCAGGAAATATTTCTGAATAAATCATTGAACTATTCAAATATCCCACTTTAATCACCATATTATGAAGTTTTACAATTTAGTCACTAACCCATAGTTTGTGATGTTACATTTAAGACATCCCCTTCTTAATATTTTAAAATAAATAAATAAATACTACCCTTAATCCAATTATATAATCAGTTCAGTTATGCGTATGAGGATTTTGGGAGAAATTAATTTGGAATAAAATGAACTAATATGCAAATAAAATGCAAAAATTAAAATAAAATAAAAATAGGACTAAACCACAAACAATCAAACCATCATGCCAAAATTGAAGCAAAAATAAAATATACAAGTGACTAAAATAAACATTTTCAATATACTATGCTAAAATTACAAGAAATGAAAAATAAATAAAACATAGGGCTAAATTAAAATAAATTAAAACTATATAGTCAAATTAAAATAGAAAAACACATTTGGGTTCGAAATACAAACATGCATAAAATACAGGGGTTTTTTCATAAATATTCCAATTTTATAACCTAAAATAATATATTCGCAATATAAAATAAAATTACAAAATTAGTCCCTAAGCATTTAAAAACAAATTAAACAGCCACTACACATGACCAAACTGTAAAAACACTCTAAACGTGCAAGGATCATTAAGAAAATAACCCTGAAAATACATAATATGCAGAAAAGTGGGTAAATCACAGAAACAATCCCTACAGGTGACTAACATGCAAAAACACGGCTAAACTAGGGGACTAAACAGAAATTAAACTACAAATTATACAATACGCATAAAAAGGATAAATATCAAGTTCGATCCCTACAAGAGACTATTTTGAAAAATGTGCTAAACATTGGGGGACTTAAGGTACAATTTCCCCCTTTCATTTCCTATATATATCAACCTTTTCATTTTTTTAAATTTTAATTTAATTTTTTAAAATTATTTTTAGAGATAGAGGGTCTCCCCTTTCTCTAGAAAATCGGATGGTTTCCGGTGATTACCTTCGTCGGTGGCTATCTCGTTACCGTACGACCACCGCAAATGATGGCTGATGGCCACCAAATTTCATCGGGAGGTCTGTCTTGGCCTCCCCATTTTCGATCTGATGTCAATTTTGCGACAATCAACATTGTTCATCGCAAAAAGGCTGAAAACCGTTCAACTTTCTTTTCTCCGATTCGTCGTCGTCGGCTGTTGGATCGTCACCAAATTTTAGTATGTTGTTCGTTGTGGGTTTTTATACCCATATTACATTTGTTTGGTGTAGTTGGTTGTTGCAGTTGGTAAGGGATGGGTAGCAGTGTTGGCATGGCAAGGTAGTGGCGTGGAACGTGGGATGTCAGGGGAACGGTGGTCTGTTGGCAGTGGGTGTGTAGGGTACGGCGGGGTAAGAAAATTGGTGCTTATAGCATGTTAACATACAGTTCAAATTGCCGCCAATTTTTTTACGAAAAAGATGAGTTTGGAAAAAAATGAATAGTTTAGTGATCATTTTGTAACTTTAAATAGTCGATAGACATAACAAAGTAATTCCCTATAGTCGAAAGATTATTTTGTAACTTTTAATAGTCGAGAGACTTAACAAAGTAATTCTCTATAGTCAAAATATTATTTTGTAACTTTTAATAGTCGGAGGACTTACTAAAGCAACCTATAGTCAAGGGACCATTTATGTAATTTACCCTTGATTTTAACTGATATGCATTAAATTAAGTCAATAATAAAATACTAGATGCTGAAGCGTATCGGAATTAGTTGATAGGTTTAAGTCATTGAATCTAGAATTCTCTTGAGTATAAACTCTCTGATGGGACAAGAGAAAAATACGAGATGATCTATTTCTTAGGGACCATAACCACTTTATATAGTTGATTTAAGAATCAATTATTGTATGTACTTATAACGCTGCCCCTCATCAAATTATAAATACAACTTTAATAGTATCTACACATTTATTTTCAAGATACTTCTAATACCTTATAACTTTATAATATTATCGATCATTTAATTTATGTCATATTTTATGATAACAATATAAATTATAAATATGTACCCATAATTATGGATTTTAATCCAACATAAATGATATGAAAAAATTGACATGTTGATTGAGATTATTGACGATATGATGGAAAAGTTCGATGAAATAATTTATCGGTGCAAAAGGTGGATGAAATAATTTCTCCACGCCTAACCATTAGTTTACGTTCGGATTGATTGAGATTTGTACATTTAATAATTACAAAAAGAGCTGGCAAATTGGTAAATTAAATAACAAACTAAGAAAGTGGCATTTTTGGATTCGTCTTCCATGAAAAATATGCACGGTCACTCTCACCATATATATTTTTTTCCTTCTTAAATATAGTATTTCGATTTCTTCGAATACAAGTGCGTGGGAAGTTCCAATACGAGGAGCACTAAAATAAGAAACATATAATGTTTTAAAAGAGCAAATTTTATGCTATTTTTATTAGGGTAAAATACACACATGGTGTCTCAATTATAGGGTTTTAATTTGTTGAGTCTCTCGAATATTAAAAATTATAAAATAATCCCTAGCTATAGGATACTATTTTGTTGAGTCCCACGACTATAGGACATTGTTTTGTTGAATCCTTTGACTATTAAAAGTTATAAAATGATCACTTGACTATTCATATATTTCAAACTTGTCATTTTCTATTAAAAAAATTTGGCAGTCGTATGTGCTAAATAATAACATGTTGACTAAGATATGATAAAATCTAATCTTAAAGTTGTTTGAGTTGTATTTTGTAAATCAACTATCTGTTTACATTATGTGATCGAGCGAGTGCTTAAAATATTATGTCGTTGAATTAATGATTGAAAGTAATAATAATGTTAGTAGATATAATTAAAATATGATTTTATAATCCAAGCAATACCATGACAATCATCGATCTATTATCCTATATATTCTTTTTAAAATTTGTCACTAAACATTCAAACCGACCTCATTTTTGTCTTTAGTTCTCTGTTCCTAGGAATAGGCCTGGGACAGAAGTGGTTGTCAGTTGTCTTCTACGGCCAATGGCCCCCGTGCAGCTGGGTTTCGCTCGGTAGATCAAGATTCGACTTAACTACTTTGAGTCCATGGCCATCCTTATCGGCTCAATTAGGGTTTTCGATATTTAACTTTCATTCATTATACCTTAATATCTATGACATGCATGATGCATAATATAATTTGACTTCTTAACTTTATATTATACTTTGTAATATCAATATACATAATAATATGCCAACTAATATCATATTTTAATCCTACACAGTAAACCCTAGTGCAAGGTTCTTATCTTTAAAAGATCACTAACCCTACTCAACAATGCTTTCTTTTTCCGGGAGGCCTTATCGTTTTCTACATAGAAATGGCCCGTCCCAAGATGATAAAACTCCTCGCTGTTATTCATATCTTCATCAATGGCCACAAAAGCAGACTTTTTCTGGTGTTCTGGACTTTCAACCACATCAAATATAGAACCCCTCAGTGGATCAGACCAATCAGACTCCGATTCTTCATCACATTCTTTGATCAGGTTCTTGGTTTCGTCTTGATCAACCTCCTTGAGTTTATATGGGAATTTTATATTCAAACAAGGGGAGCTGAATTTATGTTGTTTTGATTTCTTGTTATGTGCTTTATCATCTTTATGTTTATTGCTTTTCTCTTCACAAAGCAATAGCTTCCACTCCCTGATGATCTCGAAAGTTGCTGATCCATTACTCTTACAGTTTTCGTTTTCTGGGGAATGTTTATTTGAGCCTTCTTTATTTAGGGAATTAGCTTCATACACAGCCTGTTTCTTGTTGTCCTTCAGTTCTTCCTTCTCTTCCATGGCTTTTCTGTACATGTTTTGAGCTTCTGTTAGTGATTCAAGCAATATCTTGTTCTCTTCTTGTGCAGCATTCCTTTCGTCTTCCAGTTTTTTGATGCAATCCACAAAGCCCGTCTCTTTCATGTCCCATTGCATTAGGTTTTCTTCAGCTTCTAATGTTAACCTGTCGGAAATGTATTTGAATGTTTCGGCTTCGTTCTTTGCTTCATTGTACATTACCTCGAATTTCTTCAACTCTAGCTTCAGATTTTCTACTTCGTGGTTTGATTTCTCGAGCTCCTCTTTTATCATCGATGCTTCCTCCTTGGTTTCGATGGCTTCCGTTCTTACTTCTTTCAATGCTAAGGCTAAGTCGTCCAGGGCTCTCAGATTGTTCTCTTCGGCTTCTCGGGTCAATTTCAGTTCAGATTCTAGCGAGTTCATCTTGGCCTTTAATGAAGCAACGCTCTCTTCGTTATCTTTGGTAGATTGAAGCTCGAACTCGAGGCTATCTAATGAAGAATAACTCTGGGATGCGGCAGCCTCGGATGAACCTTTCATTTTCTCGAGGATTTCACGGAGGGATGTGATTTCTTGCCTTGATTCTTCAAGTGAAACCTTTTTTTTCTCGAGCTCTTTGGTTTGAGCAACGAATGAATCATACATCTTCTTCTGGGATTCTTCCCTTCTCTTAATTTCGTCTTCCAGTTCATGAATTCTCCTCTTGTCTGCAGATTTCTCAACTCTTTGTTCTTCTTTTGCAGACAACAACGATGAATCCTCCCCAAGCTGCGTCATTTATTGCCTTGTTTCTCTCAAACCTTAAACTTCCTTTCCAATCACAAATTCCACACGACTAAAAGATTATCTATCTTGGAAGACAAGATTCCAAGCAATACCATGAAAAGTTGAGAATGAAGAAGCTAAAATCTGTATTGAAATGGGAATGTTTTTGAAGGTTTATTGATATGTGGTGGTGGTGTTGATGGAGTTTTCCTTTGTGAGGAAGAACGAGAAGGGTTTTTTTGGATATAAAGGAGAAGGGATTATTTGTTGGAAACACAACGAGTTCTAAAATTAAACGGAAGTTAAACTGTTTTAACAATGCTCAAAATTTAAGCTAGAGGATAAATATTGAACAAGAACAGTGCAGGAATGTAGGGGGACAGATGTAGGAGGAATAAAAAAAAAGGTGTGGCTTTTTAGGGATATTTGAGGATGTCGGTCGTTAATTCCACTCGAACCAAAGCTAAATTTAGAGTATGTGATGTCACCCATAACGCCCAACTTATTTCGGAAACTTACTCTAATGCGTTCATTTTCCTCTGGATATGCTTCATCTCTTGGCAATAGGACTCTAGTAGCTTTATCATTTCTGATTAACAAATCTTTAAGACTTGAAGATATACTCCTGGGGAACCCAAATGAAGCTTGCTTATCGCGAATCACTCCACCACCAATGAGTCGCATATTACACCACCGACACTCACAATTGCCACGATCCATGATTTCTCTATCATCCATCATATGAGTTGTTCGACATTTGTTAAGAATATCAGTCAAAGAAAGACAGTAATATGTTGTGGAATATCTATTCAGTGAATGAGTTTCCAGCATGCTCCATTTACTTGCATCTAGCCCCATTTTGTGGTGAAAACTCTCCTACATTGAACTACCCACAAGATTATAAATACTTTAGATAGTATATAAAAGAAATTCAAAGTTACCCGTCTATAGTTCTATTGACAAAGATGAGAACAATATTGCTTTAGATTTCATTTGATTTTGATTGTGAAAGAAGACAAACAAAAGTCCAACTATATAAAAGGAAAATGTAATACATGTACAGAAATGATTCCTCAAATACAAATCATATTCAATAACCTTCTACCCTTTTACCTTTTTCTAAGAATACATGTAAATCAAACCCGTCAAAAGGAAAAAGAATTAATCCCACTACCCTACCCCCAGACTCACTTTTCTTTTTACAGAAAAAAAGGAACAAAATGGAAAAACAAAACAATAATCCCAAACTCAAATGCAATGCTGGCACAGAAATTACCTTTAGATACATCAACTGACTCCTAAAGCCTTTACTAAACTATGTTGCATGTTATCAAGCACCCATCTCAACTTGGTACCAAACCAGAATACAGATTATGCTCACCAGCAAAGTCATGTATGGAAGTTAAGCAAAAGCATGCTCAATCAAATACCCCTCGACAATGCTTGGCTTAAGCCCCACTCAGCAATCATATACCTTCAGGGCCCAGAAAGTCCGACGTGTCTCGAAACTCTAGGAGCTACAGCACCATAAGATCTGTATTGGATGCAACAATGTTACGTTGCAGATTTCATCAACATAAAAGGTCCCACTTATGCATCGGCAAAGTAAAAGCAGTGGGAAACTTTCAGGTGATCTGCAAGTTGGATGACAGAAGACTGCACAACATCAGTCTTCGGAGAGAGGGAATTAGGAAGTTCTGGTAAGCAAAGTGGAAGAAATTGATCACTCCCTTCTTCCAGGGAGATGGCAGAAAGCACGGCTCGACAGAATATGAATCTGGATAAAAGTCGCAAGAATAGTCATTTCATTCAGTACTTTTCTTTTTTGTCTCAGAATGCCTCCATTAAACTAAAACTTAATTATATTTACACCAGCAAAAGCTAATCAGATAAAAATATTAAAGATAAAATACCTAACAATAATCCGCCTTAAAAATGGATCAGATAAAACCTGTGCCCAAATCAGATCCAGGCTAGGTGATTTGCAAAGAATTACTTCCCACTTGGAGAAAGCAGTAGATAGTATGCTTTCGGCAGCGTCTAGAACCTCCTAAAATCAGAAAAGCAAGGAAAAGTATGACCCACAGGTGCAGAGAGAATGTAGGATTAACGAACTCGAATAATTTGAAAATTTACCATGTCATTATCAGACAAGGGGAATCCGACCATATGGCAAAATGCTTGTAGAGGAGCAGTCAAGAAAAAGGTAAACTGACTTCCATTCTGACTAATATCAGCGGCGGATGGGTCCTTGAAAAATGGCTTCAATGGAGAAAGCAGTAGGGCAGCTTTTTCTCCCCTTTCTGCACCATGTAAGACCTGAAATTCAGAGTAATTTATAGTGTAAGGAATCACATAGATGAACGATAACAAAGATAATAACAAGATGAGATCTCCCATTCCAAATCGTACAAATACAGTTAACGACAAGTTTAATGAAGCTACTAGCAATGTAACAGACCCCACACCTCTTCCGAAAATAGTAATAACACCTAGCAGTAAACAAACATGTTTCAAGCAGTTAATTCTCAGACTGTCATAATATTAAAAGAACATTTTAGATAGTAGGTTCACCTGCTCAGAAAGATATATTAAACCTTGAATGAGGAAAACAAAGCCTACCAATCGACATTTCAAGCAAAGGGTACAATTAATGTCTTCTGTTCAGTTATTGTCCATCATTTTCATCTTTAAAGGAATTGCAATAGAAATTACTTTATTTGCATTTTTCAGCAAGAAAATTTTATCTAATGGCCGCAGACCACTGAATAAGATTTTAAAACCTTCAAATTCCATTTTCCACCTTTTTCATTATAACCATAGTAAGATTCAGTTTCCTTTTGTTAATTGACTATCCATCATTTCCATCCGCAAAAAGCATTATGATCAATTTAACTTTATTTGCAAGTTGCAATAAGATCAATATTACTTCACTACTATCAATCAAATTCCAGTCTTATGTATCCTCTTAAAATATTCACATTAATTTTTCATCTTTTCAATCCAACTCCATACTGTGAATACCATATGTAATCACATTGAAGGTCAGAGGAAAAATAAGAGGAATATAAGTGATTTAAGGTTTAAACTTTCTAAAATTAAAGAATATGACAAAATTCTTTCAAATACCACACCAAAGAATACTATAACATGTCACCTTCTAAACACAGCAGAAAAATCTGGCAGAAACTATGGTTGCAAATAGGAAGTAAATTAAACATATCTTGTCAAGCATACACAAGTTATGAAAAACTTGCCTTGAATGCATGGCTGCTGTCACTGTCAATGATCAAGAAAAGAGGTCTTCGGGTGAAAGGAATTATATCACCGGGATAGAGGTTACTTGAACCTGCAAATCCGAGAAAATCATATCTAAGATAAATTGGAATAAACTAAATAAAATTCATATTGCACAAATTCAGGAGTTTTGCTCCACAAATCCTTAGAATAAAAGCTAAAGATAGTATATAGCATTAGATATGGCTAGAGCTACCTACCACCATTTCCTTTAGGACCTAACCACAGGTAATTGTCATAGTAGTCACTATACTCTTTCACACCATTGACATGGGATTCAGGTGCAGAGCAATTCTGTTCAAGGGAGTTGTGAGAAACGAGCATGCTTTTTCTTGTTCGCCTAGATCCTCCTGAAGTTTCTACCTGAGAGGCATTAATATGACCAGGCTTCCCTGCATAATTATCACTGTGTCAACAATTTAGGAAGAAGAAAAGCATTCAAATTATTCCGATTGGGGAAAGAGAAAATTATTTTTTCCCCCTCAGATAGCAATGATGTTGAAGAAAAATTACCTGAGGCTGATAGATAAACAAGCATAATACTCTCTGGAGGCATCTCCTCACAAATTGTTGCCATAACCTGCCCAAACATTATTCGTTAAACATCATTCGTAATGATTCTATCCATACAAATATCCGTGAAGATTATGTTGTTGACAGAACAAAAATGCATTCAAATAAGACAAAAGAAGATTATGCCATTGATAGACAACAAAAGCAAAGTCCCCCATCATAAATAATACAAACACACTGTTAACTACAATTTAATGAAGCCATTGGTGGCATAGCAGGGACCTCACATCTCTTCCTAAAATAGTAAAAGAACCTAATAGTCAACCGTGAACAAATATGTTCTGAGTGGTTCAATTCTCAAGAGGAAGCCATCATAAATCTTAATTAATTTACTATTTTTCCAACTCAAATTGGTTACCAAAAGAGTATGTTAGATGTTGATTCACCTTCAACCTGGAAAGGTACAAGAAAACTGGGAATAGAATAGTGGAACAAAATGTCTAAAAACCACCTAAAACGATCTTAAAAGAAATGAACTAGCCTAAATATCTCCTGTTAATATATATTTATAGCAGAAGCAAGTTCAATAAACATGGTTTGTAACTCACTGCTATCAAATGTGTCACAGATGGTCGATACAGGATAGCCTTCCTTGGATTCGGAGGTAGAGTCGAGTCAGTCATGTCTGCAGCCAAATTCATATCGATTAGTCCGGAAGCTCCAGAATAATCAACTGCCACACCATTCTCCTTTGGTTCAGCAGGATGCTTCTGGTAAAATGATCCACTAGGCTCCCATTCTAAACACTGCAGCATTCTGTATGCATCCAGAGTAAGTTCTGCAAATTTTACCTGAAAATGACCAGAACAACAGATTACAAGAATCTCAATTTGCAGGTTTAGAATACGGCCTCAAAATCAAAATAGTCAGACCAAAAAGTAAAATTTTCACCTCATTCCGGTGATAACTCATGACCACAGCATCTCGAAACTTTAGAATCTTCTTTGCATGGAATCGAGCTACATATGAAGCAGACTTTGGATGACTGTCAAGAATAGCACAGTAACGAAATGGCCTCGAACTTGGAATGGTAAAAGTTGTATCAATATTTATAAAGCAGAGAATTTCTTGCACTACTAGCTTCCACTCTTTAAAGTTTGTTTCCTGAAAAAAGGGGAGAAGAATCATATGCACCGACCAGGAGCTACTAACACTTTGTATAGAGTTAATAAGCCCATAAGCTTTACAAAATGTACCTCTAAAACTAAAATTTCGTTATAGCATACTTAATCATGCTCTAATATACTGCACAGCACTCAATAATGTGTTCACATTCATCAATTCAAACAAACATGTTCTGAAAATTTTTCACTTCAAATACTTTGATTACATGCTCAATGAGAAAGAATGACCATTTTTCTTCCAATGGAAGTGCAGAAGAAAAAATCTAACCCATCCTAACAAAAGCAAAAAAATAAATCATTTCTTACACACGCACAAATAGCCCTAAGGTTTACAAGAAAAACATTTTGACGTAAGCATAATCATCCTGGAACATAAGTATCCTTAATCAGGGTTTTAAAAAAGGTCCACGACCGCTAGTTCGGCCGCAATATAGATGTTTTGCCGCCTTCCGAGTTACACCCGGCCGCAATCACGGTAAATCCGAAATAACTGAAACGCGGCCGCGATTTGAAACCCTATCCTTAATTTTTAGCTCAACATTACGAAAAAAAAAGAATAAATTAAATGGTTATTAAAATATAGGATTTAAAAAAAAAAAAAGTCTAAGGCCCAACTGTTTTTCCTTTTCTTTTTATTTATAAAACACTGGAGATGATGTTACAAAAAAAAAAAACAGAAAAAAAAGATACCACAAAGATGAGGAGAAAAATAAGGGACAGAGGAAATAAAGCTGGCTGATCCATTCATATATTCAAATTTTAGATTATTTGAAAAAAAGAGTTATATTTCTCCAGTAAATTTACCTGAGTCATATTCTTACTGTTAATTTGGAAAGAGAAAGAGAGAGAGATTGAATTCTATTATTTGATAATAATTTACTGGCAATTAGATGGTAATCGATAATATTCAATCATTACCCTTTCATTTTCTTAAAATCCAAAGAAAAAAATATTTCTCAGGAAAACCTAAATTCTTTTGTTACTATTTATTCATAATTTCCCTTAGCAGACAAAGAGAGAAGACGAAAACTGGAAAAGCACCGTATCAAAACAATAGCAAAAACAAACAAATAAATAAAAATAAAAATTCAGCTTGAAATTTCCCCCACGCACACAAAGGGGAAAAAAACAAATTTCGTTCTTACCCGGAAATTAGCCTTGCAGTCATCAACAAGAGCTCTAAGCTTTTCAACTACAACTTTCACTATCTCGGTCCGGTTCAAAATCAACGAAACCAGCAAAAACCGGGCATAAAATCTCAACTCCTTAAACCGAACTCGAAGATCCTTCACTTCACCCCCTTCGAAATACCTCCTCTTCAAAATCGCTTCATAGAAAACGTAGGATTCGACTAGAAACCTAGCCCCGCTCGTCCTCATGTACTGGCCAAAATACAGCTGGCCGATCCGACCGGCGATCTCGCCAATCTCCCACCGGTTCAAACCGGCTTTAACTAGCTGCGCTCGGTTTTCTTGCTGGTACTTCCATAACCTCATGTAGGATTTGAAGACCTTGTGGAAATAGTGTTGGCCTTGTGCCCGCCCGTACGACGGGAAATCCCGAACTCGTGCGAATTTACGGTCGGCGCTCTCGACAAGAGCTCGGAAGGTCTTGGGAACGACGTCGTCCTCCGCCATGTACGGAACCGAAAACCAACACTAATTTCGATTTAAAGAACAAAAAAGGGGACGAATTGAGAGCGTAAGCGGTTCCGTTAGGGGGATTTGACGACGGTTACGACGGACATGGAGAAATATTTCAGAGAGAGAGAGAGAGAGAGAGCCGAGCTGTAGATTTTACGAGTGTCAGCGTAACAATCCCCTTTTTTTTTGTAAGGTTTTATAAATCCAGTGATTAAAAGTCACTGATTCAGTGAATTGGCGATGAAGAAGTATAACACTCTTTTCTCTGAGTAAAAACAACCTACACCGTCCGATGATAGTTTGGGAAAAGTAAGAGATATAAACGGCTTCTATTGTATGGAGATAATTCTTTAAGAAATAATTAATTTGGTTTTCTTCTACGAATTAGCTTATTCTTATTCCCATATGTAATGGGATAAAGGGAGGTAAGATAGTAGGTTGTCCCAACGTCAGGTTGAGAGCAGCTTTTGTGGGAGACCTCCGAATTATGAAACACATTCCGTAGTTTTCTTCTACTAATATTGGATTTAAATAATGTATTTGGAATAAGGAAAGTATCACTTGCGGTAGTCTTAATATATGGTTAAGAAAAAGTGTTATTAGTTTTTTTTTAACAAAACTGTTAAAAATTTACCAGAAATATTATTATTTCTATCAGTTTTATTATTATTGGGTGTTTTACTAATTTTGTTAACATATCCGATAAAATACTATCTAAAATATTATTTTTTTACTGATTTTATTATTATTAGTCAATTTACAGGAAATGTTAAAATACATTAATGTTTTAGATAGAAATAATAATGTTTTAGGTAAATTTTTATTGATTTTGTTAAAAAAATAATAACAAAATCGATAGCGCCTTTCCTTAATCGTATATTAAGACTATTGCATGAGGTTATATGGTTTCTTAAATTCTTATCCGATACAGGTCTGCAGTTTTAAATGAATTAATTATTTTTGTTAGTTGGGATTATAGATATAAAAATTATAAAATGACATCAATATAATATTGAAAAGTAAAATAGAACACACGAAAATAAAAAAATAAATAATATTATAATTTATTGGAAATTATATATATATATATATGACTATAATGTTCAGATTATACATTTTTTTCTCAAATAGATGACTAAATTTTTTTTGAATTATTTAAGTGTCTAATGTTATAAATGTTATCACTTTAAGGTGTTTAGACAGTAATAGTCGTTAAATTTATTTGTTAAGTGACATACGTTACGTTCGGGTGATTTTGATTTTTTTTTAAATAAAAAATATATTATATTTAAAAAATTCTAATTTCTTCAAAATCAAAAAAATAAATTTCTAAAAAACTCTAAAATTAACCCTAAAATCTCCAAATACCCTCAAATTCCTAACCCAAAGTTCATCACTGTCGTTGACGAATATTCATCCACTGTCGACGAAACTCACTGCCATCCATCCATTCATTGTAAGTTGCCATCATCAAATCTCGTGCGGAGAAACAAATGGGAGAGAAAAGTTGAAGGAGCCGTCTGCCTTGTTGTCCCTCTCTAGCGTCGTCCGACTCATTATCCATGTCTAGCGTCGTCCGACTCATTATCCATGTCTAGCGTCATCTCTATCACCAGTGCAAAGCCCCCTCGACGAAGCCCAGGAGCAGTCGCCATTGACATGGAAAAAGAGATAGAGGTTTGGGGGTTGTTTTGCAATTTTAGAGATTTTGGGGTTTTTTTTAATAAAAATAATAATTTTTTAATTTTTTTATTAAATATAAACATTTTTAAAATATATAAACACGATGTGTATCACTTAATAAATTTTTTTGACAGTCGTTACAAACTGGATACTTAAAATGTTAACATTATAACATAACCACCTAGATGATTCAAAAAAAAATTTAAACACCTATTTAAAGAAAATGATATAATTTAGACACTTATGTTATAATTAAACTTTATATAAATTCAAGATGAATATTTCACTCTTAGGTCATACGTCACAACGCTGATTGCTTGTGTTTTAAATCAGATTTTAATTTTAAATCTATCAAATGGTATATGTATTGTCAGAGTTCAAATGTCTAAAGTATGAATGAATCACCAAGATAACCAAACAAAAATTGTTTAGATTTAAAAAATGTAACATTAAATTCAAACCAGAAAAGAAAATGTACTATAAAAACATATAAAAAATGTGTTATAATAATAAATAAAATAATTTATCACTTTTATAAAAAAAATTAATTAGATAATAGAATATAACTCAAATGCAGAAAATATAAAGAAAGGAAAAAGGGAAAACTTAATCCACGATAAATTCAAAATTAATGTGGGGTTAATAGTGAAAATGTAAAAGAACGAAAAGTTTTGTTTTAAACAATGACAATCGGATCTTATTAATAATGGAAAGAATCAAAATTATAACGCACCAGAATAAAGAGATACATTTGGAGACAACAGTCATCAAAATACTCAAACAAAAGTAAATGATAAACTTAAAAATACGAAGAAAATTAAAATATTCCATTAAGAATGATGGTCAATATCAAAACACAATAACCTTCATACAAACTCCTTGTTTCTGTCGAATAAGACGTTTGACGAAGTAATAAAGGAGTGGATAGTAAATCAAATAATATGGCAGGCTGCTTCGTTACACAATTATGGTTACATCGACAAATAACATTTTACCAAAAAAAGATTTAACTATATGTACCATCGACTAACCAATCAGAAAAAAATATCATGTTGGTTTTTATGCGATAACCAAAACAACTGTAAAGGTATGCGAAAAAACATACGAAAAAAAAATGAGGATTGCATGCCACAAGAGCAGAGGAATTGCGTGCCACAAGAATAGAAAAACCATGTCACAATGACATAGATACTTTTTCAAAACTAAAAATACTCAAAAAAATATTAAAGATATAATATAAAAAAAAAGATAATTAATCATTCCCTGTAATTGACAACCAACATTAAGATTAATATTATAGCGGCTAAATAAAGATTAAAGAGAAAGAAGAAAACTGTATAAAATATGTAAAGAAGTGGAGAGTACGTATAAATAACATAAGGGGCATAATTATATTTTTATTGAGTACATATATTTACTGATAGCAACATCCAACCATAGAGAATTTCATTTCGTAAGGTAATATCCATACGTGGTTGTTAATTTTGTGTAGCTTATTGTAGGGAACAGAGAGACAAAGAGCTGTTGTTTTCCCAGTTCTATATATTCCCTTGCTCAAATGAAGAAAAAAACAATAACAAAACTTAAAACAAAATTGATAAAAAGAAGGATTGGTCCCTGTGGCTTTGAATTTTGGTTTTTCGATAATTTTAAAAAGAATGTTCTCACTTTATTTCGAAAAATCAATTATATCTGTAAAAAATGTATCACACTCACAGATTCGGTCTTCAAGAATTATAGTCCCTCCCACTTACAAATATATAAAGAAGGACATGTGATTTTATTAAAATAATAAATTCGTATAAATTTATATTAAAATTTTCTGGATATGAAATTAGATAATTAACAAAATATATAAAAATATTTTAATTACATAAGAAGATAAATTTTTTAATGAGTGCGATTAGAGATGATCATGGATCGGATTGGGTTATATTTTTGGTTCATCCAAACCAGTGACAGATCCAGAAATTTGAGAATGAGTACAAAATTTTAGTTTTTTTTTTTTAAAAATAAGGGGTATGCAAAAAAAATTATTTTTTTATCCTTAACACATTAAACTAAATTTAATTATTTTTCCAAAATAATGGGGATGCACTTGACTCCTATAAGGGCTTAGTGCATCCGCCTCTGATCCGAACTCGACCGAAAAAGGAACCCTTCCACTCGACCCAAGGTTTAGAAGGATCTCACCCGACACAAAACTTGATCTAGTTTTTTAGGTTGAAACCCACTCATAATCCTATATGATTTAAATATAAAAATCATTTTTTATTAAATAAAAACTAAAATAATATTATTTCAATTATTCTTAAATATATAATGAATATTTATATTATTATATTGGATCAAACTTTTTTCAATCTAAATACGAATACGACCCAACCCTTAAAAAATTGACTTGAGTCAAAATTTTAAAATAAGAAATCAATCTAATCGGATCGAATTGAAATTCATAAAATCCGACCGCCTCCAACACTCCCTATATTCATTTCTAAAATCAATAGTTTACATGAGTTTAATTGTTTTCATCATTTACTTACTCATGAATGAAATGATGAATACCTTTTAATTGATTTTTTTTAAATTCCTTTTAATTGATTTAAATAAACTTGAACGACTGTTTCAACACAATGACCAACAAAATTCTATAAAAGAAATAATATTTTAAAGCTATGAGCTGCAAATTATATGAGAAAACAAATTTGGTAATCTTTTACAAAGTAGTACAAACCTTTAGGTAAAAAGTTGGATGAATAAGGAGACCCATTGTTATAATAATGGTGAAAGTAAGAGGTTGAGGGTGACAATATATAGGAAATGAGTGGATCCGATGTATAACCACCCTTTTATCATTATTGGAGGGCTGTTTTTCCCAAGGGTTGACCTTTGTTAATAATGCAACAAGAGAGGGAGACAAGGATGTGTCCTACAAGCTTTGCCACAATTACAATAATTTATTTTACTTTTTCTGTGTTTCGTCACAATTGATGGGAAATTGTAGATTATGTTTTTTCTTATTATTCCAAGATTGACAATTATTTTCTAATCTTTCTTCTTAAGATTTTGACATTAATAAAGGGTGATTTGATTTAAGGAGGGTCGTTTTTTTTGTCATTATTTGTTCAGATCTACTCTTCAAATAATCTTATAAAACTTTATGATTTGATTTATACATATATTTTTCCAAAAAAATAATTCAATGTTTCCGCTAAAGTTGGTGATAAAATTGATCTGTAGCATTTTCTTAATTGATATGTAACATTTTCTTAATTGATCTGATTAATTAATAATTTACAAAGTAAATTAATGAGCATGGTGATTAGGTAAAGAGTTTTATGCTTCCAATAGGGTATATTAAAGGTTTACAAGCGGAAATATGACGAATACGTGAGGGCATGCAGTTGACTAAAAAAGCTGGGAAACCAATCACGAGTCATTAATTTTTTTTACCGAAAATATTACATT